GAGATATATATATATATATATATATATATATACTAAAAAAAAAAAAAGATACATTAAAAATAGATAACAAATGAATGGAAATTAAAATGGCGATCATTAGGCTGAGAAACAAGTGTAACAGCCCGAGAGAGATTGTGTACAGAGTTCTGGTTTTTTCAATTACAGATCTTTTACAAAGATGATTTTCCCCAACATAACTTCATACACTGTGCTATTTTAAAAGTGAAAAAATCAAAAACAATATATTTTCTTTCATATCATGCCATAATTTATACAGCTGAATATTACTCTCTTTTTTCATGAATAAGCTCTTAATGAGATATTCATCAATTAGTTGATAGCTTTGTAAAAATCATGTTTTTTAAAAATACAGACCAAATTTAACATGCATGTGATCTTTTTCTAAGTCTTCTATCCTAATTGATCCTAACATTCAACCAAACATACAATTAAAAATTTGCATTTACTTTAGCTGGTCAAGAAATATGAATAAAAATAAGAGAACCTTATGGTTTGTTATTTTTTTACCACAGGAACATTGACCTGTGAACTAAATACAAGCCATGTAATGCCTCAACCAATTAATTTTGTTTTAAGGATGAAACACCATCCTATGAAGTTAAAATTTTCTGCATAAATTGAAATTGAGATTGGATGGGATTTTAATCTAGTTAGCAGAGTTACAATTGTAATTTTCACCCTTTTTCAATTTTTAACCTCTTGATGGCTATAACAATGACCATGAAAAATTAAGGTTGTATGTACCAGTAGTTAATAATAAGTACTGATGTATCAATTCAATATTAGGTAAAATATTCAGTGGAAAAATACTATATTTAAAATCTGAAGGAAAAAAAACAAACAAAAACCTGTTAACTAATTAGGTAATAGTACAATTAATTAAAAATGTTCAGTTAATAGTCTGTGATACAGGTTGCCAGCTAAATTATTAGCTGCCAGACAACATGTTTCCAATTATTGAGTTTTTAGAAGTTAATTGATGCCATGCTTTATGAAACAATAGTAGTTCCTAGCCACCTTTGTTTGTGCTGATTGAGTAAAGGTTTAGAAAAGAGAAGTCTGATGTTATCATTCAATGTTTGGATAAGTAAACAACAAAAAGAACATAAAACCAACATTAGAAATCATTAACTTCACAACTTAATACAATAAAATAGTTGGTTTTCAATGAGTAATATTTGATGATCTGTTAAGGAAGTGAAAATAAATCAAAACACTTTTTTTTTTTTTTAACAGAAGATTTTTTTAGCTAAAGGATAATTATCAAATGCGAAAAAGCAAAAAATAATAAATAAATAAAACAATTATTTATCTTTTAAGCCGTTCCCTGAACTAATGAGCTCACATTACGCCTGTTGCTCTTCTTTTTCTGAATGAGGCAACAAAGTTACTGGAGAGGAATACTTGATAGCCTCCTCATAACTTGGTGGGAGGTCCTAAAAGGAAACAGGTGCATGGACATACTTATTAAGAAAAAAAAACAAAAAAACAACTAAAATCATAAAGCAGTTATGCACAATTTAAAAAAACCAGAAATATCTATTAATTAAGACAAAAAATTTTCAGCTAATCAGCCCAGAGTTTGTACTTTCCTCTATCTTTAAAAACAGAAACACATATATCACTTTATAAAAAGGAGAGTATAAAATTGTTACATCAGTATCAAAGGTACTTTTGAAAATCTTCACAATGTGTATGTTTACCGACTATGTCAAAAATAATATAAAACATATTAAGTAGATAAACTTTACTTACATGAAAAATTTAAATTCAAGTCTGAAATGTAAATATTAGATAAAATACTAAAAGGCACTGCTCCAAACGATATATAATACATCTTTCATAATATAATGTCTATGATCATTATATTTTTTGGTTTTAATTTTGGTAACATTATTTGAAACCTTAAAAAAGTGTTTCACTGTAGAAATTATGTAGATGGGAAATTATTTCATTTTGAAGAGAAAATTAACATTTTGCTAAATTGAAAATGTATTTCTAATAATAATTACCTCTTCTGACACTTATAGCTATTACTCGACCACCAGGGTTTCTTCTTTGCCCATCTAAGCATTGGTTCGATTGTTTCTCGCTTGCTCCAGTCTTTTATACCCAACTCAATTGTCCTCAGCTATATTTGTCTTGTGATACTCTCCACCTATGTCAATGCACTCTCTATACAGGTATTGTAAATAAGCACCTCATTCAGATAATTTTATCACTTTTTTTGAGACTGATACCATCCCAGTCTCTAACACCGGCTCTTATTTGAAAGGAAGGGTGGGAAAGTGTCAGTGGAGGTAAGTGTTGTTGGAAATACATTTTCAATTTCTGAAAATGTTAATTTCCAAAACATACTTACCTCCACTGCCACTTATAGCTAAAATTACAAATTGAGAAGGTGAAGGAGCTGGTGAGGGCATTATCCATGCAGAAAGCACCTGCACAGATCATAGGTGTACCAAGATAAGAGTGGTACCCGAGTGGGGGAACCACACTAGATTTAGAACAGGTATGTTCTTCACCCTGAACTTAGTTCCTGTATCAAGGGTGGAATTGTACATAAGTAATAATCACTATAGGTCAGCCCCAACCAGATAGCTGAAATTCCACTACTCGGGGTTGGAATTAAGGTGTTGTGGTTCCTATATCCCAAGTTGGTGGATTGGGCAATTGGACCTCAATGTTATATATAGATATACTTTTGATTGGATTCCAACCTGTAGCCGTAGAGTGATGCATTCCAAACCACCGGAATCATGATGAGAAGGTAAGCAACACCTAAGAGGACAAACCTTCTTCTACATCTCATGAAGCACAAAAGGCAACATCCCAGGCTCAGAATGATAGGATAGTGTATGCTTTACTCAACCAAAGGAACACAACTCCCCCAGTCTGGAATTATGAACATTCATCCTGACTTCCCAAACGAGTGGGCAAGGAGCCTTCTACTTGCCCCCCTTATTATGAAAAGGAGGTGGAACAACCAAGGACTCAGGATGGAATCACTCTGCATTCAGAATTAAGAGGAGATAGTGGATCTCCTTCCATGAACAATATATTAAACTTATACTGATCAAAATTAAGGGCCATGCACACCCCAATGGGAAAAACCCGAGCACCAAATCTCAACTGGTATTACGAGTAGGCTCCCAAGTAGGCTGCACCATTCCTACAGACAGGAAAAAAAAAACATCCATGGACCTGGGTAGAAGGGCCCTCAAATTTGCCCTCTTCTCCAAGAGTGGAGGAATTCACTCTAACACTCTGAAGGAAAAGCCTTTGTCTATCACCCCAGTGACTGGAAAGTAGGCATGGTAAGGACTCCCTAGCTCCACTAATAGAGCTGGAGGGTAATGCACATTGGGGAATGCTGAGGAGCAATGCTCTGGAAACATTGCAATAGGTGAGCCAAGTTCCTTACATTTTTAAATGCAAACTGACCCCGATTTATTCAATCTGATGATCAGCAGGGATGGGCAGGATCCCCTTTAGCTTTACTCATGATAGTCCATGAGTGGTGGTCCAACATAATATAGTAATACCACCTGTTGAGCTCCTAGGTGGTCTTAAGGAACACCTCATTTCTACTGTGCCTTTTGCAACCAGTAGTAATTATAGTGAAATGGTAATTGCTAGTGCAGAATTGGTTTGATAAATGCACACCTGTCTGGGCAACACTCTCCACAGAGTGGGATCCTGTGAAAACAAGGTAAGGGACCCTGAGAGGTAGAAATAAAAATACTCACCCTCTGGATAATCTAACAGAAATAGCTAAGATAGCTACAAGGGTTAGGCAAAAATACTCAGATGAAGACACTGCCAGGTCAGGCAAATAATTATTTGTGTATTGGGGAGGTCCACATACCAGTCTCCACAGTGACCTTCAGCAGGCAATTTGAACAAGGATGCTAAGGACATAGAAAAGAGAAATTTGATTAGTGACTGACAGAAGATACCCTGCCTTCAAAAAGATACCAAAATAAAGGTATAAGTGCAGGAAACAAAACCTTCAAGACCCTCACTGAACATGACAAATTACAGTTGCAAAATGAGAGGCAATCCAACTGAACCTTGCGATGCAACATCTTTTGTGTTGGTAGAATGTCTGAATTGAGACAATGAACCTGCTACCACAGGCATCACCAACTAGAAGGGTGATTAGATAAGACTAGTCGCGAGAAAGGAGGTCCAAAATTCAAGAATAAGAAGCCCTCGACCACATGCCTCCTTGATGAGAAACATAAGACACCACTGTGGAATAGTCAGAGTGAAACCTGAGGATTTACCCCTTATGAGCCATTGCCTGTTAAAGAGCAAGGAGGATGAAATCATTGTGCTGGTAATCCTCATTGTACATGCATACTCTGGAATTCCTGACTGTTGGTATATGTACTCCATCCCTGAAGCAAGGCATTCATAAAAAGAATGGAACTCTGAATGAGGCAGCAGTAGAGGAATCCAATTTGTAGTAGCATCTGGTCTTAATCCATCAAGATCAAAGAATGATCCCTGGTCGCTTAAAAACCAATAAAAGGAATCACTTATGTTCTCATCCCAAAGGTATGAAGGATTTGAGGGATGCCCACATTCCCAGAAGAGAGAGAAGTATCTGTGCAGTGGGAGAAGGAGAGGTGAGTAAGAGTGTGGAATCCTATTCTAAAGTGTTGAGCAGGATGAGTGGCAGCTGAGCCCAACTGAGAGATGAGATGAAAAATAAAAAATACCCAGACTGATGACACTGAATTGGAGCAAGAATAGATGTCACAGTCCCAAAAGAGAAGCCTTTGTGGGTTGTATCTGAAAGTAGAAGCAGGAAGTGATGGTTTAACACCTGATGAGATGTTGCCAGCAGTAACCAGTCATCCATGGAATGGTGTGTGCACAATACAATGGAATGAAGGGAATGACAAAAGTCATACGATACAGCAGAACCCATGTTAAGCCTATGCAAGACAGAAAGAAAAACTGATCTGCAGTACCAGACCCTTGTGCACCAAAAAAGCTGATAGTGGTGGCCTCCATCACCAAAGCAAAGTGCATATAGAAGCCAACTACAACCAAATTGGACATCTAAAATCCCAGTAAAAGAAATCAACACAGATTGAGGAATGATTAATTTGTGAACTTTGGAGAATCTAGGCATTGATATAGACAAGGAAGATTGATGACTGGACACCAACCTCCTGTCTTCATAGGCCCAACAACCAACATGAATAGAAACTCTGAAGAATTAGCCTGACTATCTTGCTACCCCCAGACCAACCAGACTCAGATAACCATACAACTAAGTTCCAAATCCCAATGAATTGCAGGAGACAGAAACCCTACAGGTTGGGTGGATAATAGTGGGGAAAATGTGAACTGAATGACCAATTGTGACCCAATAACTTGCAGAGCTTCTAGACCGATGGATAAGATTTCCACACATTCAGAAAATCTTGGAACCGAGCCCCCACAGCACATGAAAGTATACAATAATCACTGACGCTGCTGGCAATCTGACAAAGCAGTAGAGACCTTGGATGTAGACAGAATATATTCTGAGTACCAACGTACTAAGGAGCTGATGTTGTACGGTACTCGCATATATGGGCAAAACTATGACCCCCCTCTAGAAGCCGGTGAGATTTAAGACTCCAACAAGAACTGGAAGGAATGTAGAAGCCAAAAATTTAATCAACATGCATGCTAACAATGGATCCAGCTCATCCTGGTAATCTTGTAAGTTTTCTAACAAAGATAAGTGACTGGAAACAGAGTGTTGAAGGTGAATTGTAAGTCCAAAGACTTACTCTATTCTATCAGGAAATATCGACCTATATAGGTGAACTACAAACTCTGCCTTAGAATCCCAAAATTCAAAGAGCAGAAATTATTTGAGAATTGGAAAAATGGTGGTGGTAGTAGGCAAAATCATGAAGTTCCAACAATGTGTTGGATAAGGCCTAACTGTCCCTTCACGTAACTAAGAAGTAAACCTTCCAGCATGAACCATAATTTCTGTGTATGTAGAAAAAAATTTGCTTCCAGACCTTTCAGCCATCAATTACGTTGCAGGCTCAAAAGCAACCAAGAAAAAGCCTAAAACATCACACACACTCAAAGAAACAGCAGAAGAAAACAAAAAAGCAGCATATCCCACAGCACAGGGCCCGGCAGTGGGATATTCCAAACTCACCAGGAATGCATACTACTTTATGAGCTAAAATGGCTAATGCTTTTTCATGGGTTCATGAAGTAATTTTACACCTAAATTTCTTTTATGAAAAATCAGCAAAATACAATGAAAGAGGGGGCCCATGATATTACTCACCCCGGGATCTGAGCTGGCTCTTGATGCCCCTGGGTGAAGTAAGTTGTTTTGTTAGAGCAAAGCAACTGCGGGCCATCTGCTGCATCCACTTTAAGGAATTGAAACCCGGACCCTGCAAGTCTTTAAACTTACCAATGACCCACAGGAGGGCTGAAGATCCAACAGACTAACAGAATGCACAGGAAAAAAGCAAATCTAAATACTCTTCAAAATGTCGAGGATCATCCTCAAATACAACCTCTGACCCCCCTGGAGGACAACACAGATCTGAATATACATCTCCATCTTACTATGAATAAGATCACTGACAGTTTTAGACTAATGCTTAGATGGTCAAAGAAGAAACTCTGGCAGTTGAGTAATAGCTATAAGTGGCAGTGGAGGTATGTTTTGGAATTTCTTTTATCCGTAATACTGCTTACAGAAATTATACATGGAGGGAAAAAGGCTGCAGTTTGAACAAAGAAAGAAATGACAAATTTCATAAACCACTGTGAATTTTCTATGGTTCTAAATTCATACATTTATTAGAAAATTTTATTCACAAGAATTATTAGTGGCAACTGCAACCTCATATTCAAATTACTTCATAACAATGTTACCACAACTATAAGGATCGTTGTTTTTGCTGGTAATATTGGTGTTATACATACACACTATAAGCATAATAAAATTTAACAAAGGCTAAAATAATACCTGAAAAAATATTTATTTATCAAAGTGCTGATACTCTCTTTGCAATCAAAGTGCTAATTCTCTTTAAAGTGGTGATTATATATATCTATATAAACCTATATAAAGCATCAAATAACAACAGCATTTCTGCATATTTTCCATTAAAAACAGTTCAGCATTTAAAACATTTTCTCTACAAATTAATGTCTGTATACCCCCTTTAAAAAAAATTAACAACAAACAAAACTAACCAAGCTGTTCTTCTCATTTTACAACTAAATGTTTTTAACCATGTTGCAAAGCATTGAACAATTAGTGTAGATCTTACATGTGGCTATAACATAATCCCATTGTTTGAGTACAAAAAGATGAAAAATAAAAATAAATGATAGTACATGCATAAACTTTCTTATCAGATGCAGTAATAGCTTTAGCAATATTACACACAAATTTTAATTTCTAGAAGATGTGCTCAAGCACAGGTTTTTTTAAACTATATAATGAATTGTATGGAATGACCTCTATGCAAAAATGTTATCCCAAGTTTTGGGTCCATTTGTTATATAGTTTTAAGGAAAGTGTTTGTCAAGATATCTCAAAAATAAACAAGAGCCATAAACTAAAATTACTGCATTTCATGCTAGAATAATAAGTTGTGTTTTGCCATATTTTCACTAGACACTGCATAACTTAATTTCTTTTTGAATAGCATTTCAACCAAAAGTTTTATTGTTGAGATCTAGGAGGCAATGCAAACCTAGAAATGATGACAAAACCTTGTCGAACCGTTGTACATTTGCTTTCATTTTAAACTTATATTAAAGTTTTTCTTTATTGCCCATTAAAGCCGTCGCCAGCCATTATATGTTTAATATCAGATCATAAACTGAACAGCTATAAGATAGGGAGGAAATACAAAAAACTAATCAAAATAGACTTTCTGCAGAAACCATATTTTAATGACATAACAAAAAAAAGTTGCCTAACTCGTGTTTATAAAATAAAAATATGCAAAATGTTCAACACTAACCTTAAATGTTATTAAATCATATGAAAACCACAATAAAAACATTTTAATTTTTGCTAGCATATCACCAATAATGAAGAATATAATTTTCAGAGTAAAATGAAAAACGATTTCAAACTTCCAATTTCTCTAAGGACTCACCTGTAAAGAACACATCAATTTTTATTTTAGAATTATTCTGCTCATCCCAAAGTATAGGATTGTATTTACGCTAATAAACTATAATCCTTAGATAATATTCATGATTTATTTCTCATGTGATTTTCTTCTCTTTCACTGGTTTTATAGTATACATTTTTGTTCTCACCCTTTTATTATATCAGAGCATGTGAATCGAGCTATTAATGAAACAAAGTTTAAATATCATTGGATAGAGCCAGTTATCTACTATTTACATGAATGTAGAGTAAATAAAATGGTGTCAGATGTAATTTCTTGTTTTATATGAATGTAAAAACACAGTGATGTTGCTGAGAAGAACAAAAGAAACTCATGGGAAGTTTATAAGACATAGGAATAAACCAGATCTCAGAATTTGTTTCTATAGTCTCTTTAGACAATCTGTTAACTGGAGAAAGTATGTTCATATAAAATCATATCTGTTTGAAAGCTGTAAAAATTTTCTTTTATGATATGACTAGCTAGGCTTAGCGAGTAATGAAGTTGATGGCAAAATATTTTGATAATTTAAATCTCACATCACACTTGAATAAATAAACTAATTGCTTATAGAAAAGAAGCTATATTTAATAGATTTTGAATAAGAATACAGTTAGCAAAAATACTGTTACCTAGCTTGACAAAAATATTTAATAATAAATAGTGATACCATTTCAAAAACATCATCAATACATTTTTGTCAGTTTTTCCTATATTATTTTAAAATTTATTGCCAATTGCAGTATTCACCACTTATAGTTATAACCAGAGTAAAGTATTAAAAGAAATACGTTATGAACATCAATCCTGTTGAAACTGACTAGATATATAAAATGGACAAAAAAAAGCTTTTTGATGTTTTTTAAAACATTGTCAAACAAAAAAATTTTGGAAATCTCACAACATAAAAAATGATAGAAAAATTAAATTGAATGGAATAAATCTCTTTTTAAGTTGAATTATATATTACTTAGTAAGTTTGTTCTGAGTTTTATATAATTTGTTAAGTATTTCTACTGGTACAGAAATGGTTTATAGAATTGGTCAAGGTGTTCCAAGTGTCAAATAGAGAGTAAAATTGTGAACTGACAATGATATCACAAATGATGGATTTCTAAATTTATTTTCAATGAAATTTTAAAAGCTTTTTGTTTTAATTTTGTTATGTTTTAAAAACCTACACACGCAGCTGATGTTAAACCTAAGATGGCCTTATACATCTTTCTAGCAGAAATCAGTATTTGGACAGTTAAGAATGAATTGTTGAGAATTAAGTGATTTCTGATTGGGATGTCTTATCTTGCTTCCGAATCTAAAGGCTCAATTATTTGTTAGACTTGGAGCTGAACCCAGTAAAAATTTAATACTATAAATCTTCTCACCTCTTGATTGATGTGAGCGAGAGATATTTCCTCTGCTGGCTGGGTGGTTATTGTTGTTGTCGTAGCTAATAAGATAAATTAATAAACTGATTGATATATAAAATAAAAAGAAATAAAGAATAAACAACTAACAAATATGTGATTTAGTAGGATTAGTACATAAATGTGACAAGCTTTTACCGAGCAGAACTCTGTGATATTAACCCTACATACATGGTTGTGGTCCATTGGACTGAGTCCATACTGGAGAATTAAGAACTATATAATTCCAAATTTACTTTGTGTATTTTCATAAAATTTGGCAGTTTTTTACTAAATGTGAAAAGTATGTGTTACACAAAAAAATTCAGATTTCTCAACAAAGTATTTGTATTAAAGATTCATCTGAGATTTTACTGAGTCAGTCTGCATGAAAGGTGAATTTCATGATATGGAATCTCCAAAATAGATATCAAAAGTTTTTTAGTAACACTGTGTATCTCATCTGTAGATTTCTCTAGACAAACAGCATACTTGATTCCAGGGTCTTCAAAGACATCATCCAAATATAATGAAAAAATTAGTTGAAAAACAAACAATAAATTGAGTAACACAGTTCTTTCTGCCCTTTTCAGTATTGATTGTGAAGTTATTTATATCCAAAGTTTAAACCTTTATTCTTTTATTAAATAATTTTTCTGTTTTGTTTTTATTTTGCTGTATGGAGCAGTAGTCACCCTAGACAAAAAAACAATAAATCAAGGGGTGAGCCATTACACTGTTTGTGACAAACAGTAACTCTGGGTCTGAGAATCATGTAAACATGCGAAGCTCTTAGTTATGTCTCAGTAAAGCAATAAGTTTGGAAAGAAATTTACACTATGGCTTAGCAATACTTTTAATATAAGCAATTTGTGCCAAACTCAGAAGATCAAGAGGTAAAAAGAAAAAATCTAAATTGGGCAATTTGGCACACAGATGCATCACATGATACGAATATGTGAACATTGAGATAATAAATATTTCCTTTTAAAATTAAAACTTGTATAATATTAAAATTTAAAAAAAGATCATGAGATGCAGCTGAGTAGAAAAGTAATACATTTTTAGTAACCAAATTTATAATTAAAAGTAAAACTGGCCTACAAAGTACAAATATGTAACTTAACACACCAGTATTTTGTGAAATATAATGGCATTTTGATTACCACATTTATGTATATCACCATTATTTACTCATAAATGCTTAAGTTTTAGTTATTTCTGTAAAACATATAACAATAAATAATATATGTATAAGAAACATAGTTTCTCGTATGTACGATCTTATGAAATCTACTTTCACTCAGGAAGACATGGTTGCTAACCTTCACAGATTCACTCAAACTGAGGCAAAATATTATCACTCACTAAAACAGGTCATCATAAAACTACTATAGCTTTCTAACTAATTTATAATTAGGTTATAAAATTAATTTCTGTTTGGAACAACAATTTTAGTAAACACACTTTAACATTTTGTGTTGAAGTTTGGCCTTCTTCACCATAAAACAGGGAAACAATCATGATTTTACTGTGCTTCAGGAGTTAACATTTTCCTTACCTGAAAATGTATTTCCATTAGGTACTCACCTTGACACACACAGAAGCACCTTTCCTTTTGAATTTGCATGTTCTGCCAAAGAGATTTGCAAGCCACCAGCTTTGTGAAAACTCCAACCTAGCCTCATGTGAAAACATGTGAATTTGTGCCACTACATGATGATATTATCATGTAGCAGAACCCTCCACCAATAGGAGTGTGACACACCTCCATGCACAATGATTCTTTCTACATTCGTGTTTATGAATCTTTATTCTTTGATGAGGTATTGAATAAATGTGCACCAGAATAGTGGGGAGGATGAGTGGGAATATGTGTAGAGGTATCTATTGGAATATACACTTTCAGGTGAGGAAAATTTTAACATCTGAAACTATACCTCACCTCTTCAAACAGCCAGAATCCCACATTGAAATGGTGGAGACACTGATGCAAAGGTGCAGAAAATGATCTATGGAAGCCCATGGGGGTGTGACATCTGATGGTAAGGGATCCATATGGCTCTCATCTTGTCCAGGGTATGCTCTTTACTTATGTAGAAAAATAGAAGAAGCAAAAAAAAGCCATAAGGGTGTTGCAAGGATGGGCAGAACAGGTACATGTCCATCTGACAACTCATACACAAGCTGCAGGGCAGCCCATATGTATAGTGAGGTTGGGGCTCATTCAGACCATGCCTTGTGTGCTCACCTCCTCTACCATCAGACTCAATGGGTCAAAACCAGCTGTGGGAGGAGGGCACTTGTGATAAGTATCTATGCTCATCACTTCTACCATCAGTCTCTACAGACACTATGCCAGTTGCAGGAGTAGGGCACTGTATGGAATCATGTCTATATAGATACTTATATAAACCTATGGGTCCCTTGCCTGTTGTGGGAGTAGAGTATGCGAGTGCATAGTTTTCACCTCAACTTTATCATCAGTCTCTAAGGACTGCATGTCAGTTACAGGAGTGTTTTTTGTTTTGTCAGCATGGTGTGGAATAGACTAGTAATAGAGATACCATCAGTCTACTTGAAGATTATGATGTATTATAGTACATATGTGGGGTGCTCTGCACTACTCTCCAGTGTCACCCCATTCCCACTTCTCACCAGAGGGACCCCTTGTTCTATTCCAAGCAGTTATGTCCCAATCAGTGAAGATTATTCATGGTCCACCAACCCACCAGATGGGAGCTGGTAAGTGGTAAGGGGGAGAATTTGCTTAGGGGAGATCCAGATAATGTTTCTGGATCCCCATCAGTCCTTCAGTCCAGAAAGGTTTTTTGTACTAGAGACAGTGCAACTAGTGATCCCAAAACCTTATTTTTAAAAGCCAGCAAGTGCTGACCAGAGATGTGAGCAGAAACACTGCTCTGGTGCTGGTTTTTTTCTCATGATATTCTATGAAATGGGTATGGCCTGGAATGGACATGAAAAGTAATACAGATATATATACAGAGATACCAAGAGGAAATCTTGAAGAGCACACCATCTGACAGTGCTAGATGATGGTATGAGCTCTTTCCATTATCCTGGCTCAATGCAAATTTTGGGTAAGTGTACTCAGGAAGGCAACATAAGGTGACTAGTGGTATCCTGTAGTGATTGTGAGTTGAGAAACTTTTTGTATACTCACTTGCCCATAGATGGAGGGTGCATTGGAAAAGGGCCACAGGTGGAAGAGTAAATCCCTACAGAGACAAGACAGCTAATATGAGCAGGTATTTGGCAATGACAAGGTGAGCTGTAATCCACATGTTAGCCTGGTAAAGAACACTAAAAGTTGATGAAAATATTAGCTAGAGAAAACAGGAGGTGATGAATCTGATGGGAAGACACTAAAAAGCTAGCATTCATTTATAAAGAAGTACAGACTGGATGAATGATCAGGTGGATCCATCCTGAAAGGTGGAAGAAGAGAGAACCCAGGTAGAGAAGGGGATCCAAGGAAGAAAAACAATGGTGATTGGAACACCTAAAGGATGAAGAGCATGAAAAACAATGAATGGCCTGGACAGAATACAGGGGTCTGTCTGGTACTGAACAAGTATAAAGAAGTGATATAGTAGGAAAGGCTATGGAAGAAAAGTGTGATCACTGAATAATGTTATGGAAGACTAGAGGAGGAAAGATCAACCACTGTAAACGAGAAGGAAAGTGTGGTTTAAGAGAATTAGAGAGAAAAATATAGCACAGACATCTGAATGACATCAGCCACACGTGTGTGTCCAAAAACAGATGATAATAAATCAAGTTGTTAAGGTTTGAGAGGGTCCAGGTAAGAGCACTGAGAACCACTATGAAATTTCAGTCAGGGAAAGAGAAGGATAGTAGGGTCTGTGGATAAATAAGAAACAAAAGAGGGTAGAAAGGACTGGTGAAGAAACTATCCTGTGGCATTGGGATAGGTGGAATGTGGTAGAAACACTGCCCAATAGCCCACAGTGGAAAAGATAGACAAGCAATGGTAGAACACACATAAAAGAGGAGGGAATATGTTATAAAGCAGGGTGGGCAGAGGTGAAATGGTGAAGTGGAGACCAACAGCAATAAGTATGTTATGTACTGTGGTATCTAGAAGAGGAAGAAGGGTGACCATAGTGAGACAACAGGAAAGTACACGATAGGATGGTACAGCTCAAAGAGTGATGGGCCACACAAATTCTACATGTGAACATGAAGGGATGTTACTCCCTGATGACATATATAGTTGGATTACATGGTATTTACGGAAGGAAAATGGGGTGGCTTGGACAACAGAAGATGGATTATGAAAATCAAGGTTGGAGCCAAATAGCATTCTGCAAATCAGAGGAAGGAGGGGGTGATGGGGAGGACAGGCCTAAAGCAAAAGATGGCACCAGACTTGATTGAGAGCATAGACAGCCAGGTCTTAGTTACAGGATGCCAGAGAGAGGAAGATTAGTTTTAAGAAGTGTAGAAAAGGCAATTATTTGGGGAGTAGTAAGATGAGAGGAGATCAACAGAGAACGTGCAAGTGGAAGGACCTTCCCTTGTGTAGGACAGACTGTGACAACATTATGAAACTCACCCAACTGGAATAGACATAAAGGAGGAGGTCCAAAGTCAGAAAAAAGGGGGGGGGGGACTTGGTATTTGACATGAGACAAGACAGTGGATCTAACCAAACCGATCAAAAATAATCGATCCATAAAAAGGGAAAGAATTGTGAGAATTCCTGATGAATAGCAAAGAGATTGAAGGCATGATAAGTAGAGAATGCCCCTCAAAGGACCAAGAGCTCAAAGTCAGACCATCATTCAGAGATGCACCCCATCCTGAGAAAGAAGTGTCCATAAATAAGTGAAGGTCCAGATTAAAAGGAGGTAGAAGAACACAAGAGATGGTGGTAGAAAAGTATAGCCACCAAGATCCTCCATAAGAGAAGGGGAGGGGAGGGAGGTGGATTTGTGAGTTTGGTGAAACCCTAAATATATTCCATTATTTGTGCAGCATCCACTGTGGGATGCATATG